TTTTTTTAACTTTTTTTTTTTTTTTTTAACAAACTTAATTTTTTTTTTTTTGTTTTTTTAACAAAAGCTCCGGCGCTCAGCTAGAAGATAATATCTCAAGGCTGTCGTTTTTATTTAAAAAAGAAAAAAAAGAAAACCGACAGCTGGGCAAGGCGATCCCTATTCCCTTTAACTGCTGTGTCGCGATCCCACTTGGCCTTACCTGATTCTTTTCATTTTTTTTTAATTTTTTTTAACGGGAAGATTCTTTTCATTTCCAGGTAAGGCCTTACCTGACTATCAACGGTGAGAAATGAAAGGTCCTGGCAAGTCAGATTCGAACGTTTTTTTTTTTTAAAGCCAGCTCCGATCTATTCGGAGTGAGCAGCTCGTTATCGGAGCTGGTTGAAAGAAAAAGAAAGAGCAGTCGAATTTCCAGACCGTGGAATGAAAACCCTAATTTCCTGTTTTTTTTTTTGTTTTTTTTTTTTGGTGGACCTTGCTCTAATCGCGGAGGAGAGTTTATTCTCTTCGCTTAGTTTTATTTTTAAGGGGGTGGTTTAAAGGGGGTATAAGGTCATTTACCCTCCTATATTGTATCTAATTGGGTTCTGTCGGGATTCAAACTTTTTAACGGGGTGGTTTAGAGGGGGTATAACGAACTTTTTAACGGGGTGGTTTAGAGGGGGTATAAGGTCATCTACCCTCCTATATTGTATCTAACTGGGTTCGGTCAGGATTCGAACTTTTTACCTTTACCAACGGGCGTAGCTCAGTTGGTACACCCATGAATTGTTTGAATACACCCTACTGAATCCAGATGCAATCAAGGTAAAAAAAGGGGAAAAAAAATAAAATTCTCACCTTTTTTTTTTGGAGTATAGTAACATTATTCAGAAGCCACGTGGACCGTTAATCTTCGTAGATTCTGTTTATTTTTGTTTTGTTTTTTTTCTGAAAACGGGGTAGCTCCTAACATTATTGTATTCAGCAGGTTTCGAACTCGAAAGCTTCACCTTTTTTTTTGGAGTATATTAATATATATTAATAATATTAATATTATATATTAATATTATTCAGAAGCCACTGGTCGACTTTACTCACACCAACCGTGGAACCCTGTGTGTGTGTGTGTGTGTGTGTGTGTGTGTGAGAGAGAGAGAGAGAGAGAGAGAGAGAGAGAGAGAGAGAGAGAGAGAGAGAGAGAAGGCCATTATGATAGGGGTTAGGGTATTGAGAGAGTGAAAGTGTGAGATAGGGAGAATGGGAGAATGGGGGTAGGCGCGGGGTTGATTGATTTGATTGGATCATTTAAGAAATAACATCAAAAGTTTCGTTGGGCGAAATGTTGGAAGTTTTTTGGGGCATGAAATTTTAAAATTTTGAACTTTCTGAAATTTTCTGAAATCGACGGTCGTTGACACTCTTGAACTTTCTTTTTTTTTGTTTTTTCTTTTTAGCTCTCTCCTTATCTCCTATTTCACAAAATTTCAAAATTTCGAAAATCTGTGTAGCGTATTTATAATTTATGTTTTCGAATATATGGAAATCGAAATGGGACGGATCAAGATCGGACGGCTGGTCGAGAGCTGAAAATTTAGCGGCGAACTTCAAATTTGACCGATACAAAGAGGAAAAGGAATGAGATCATAATTTTTTTTTATTAGCAATTAAATCAGGAATTAAATCACCTCTTTAATTCAGTTCGGAATTAAATTAGCTCAGGAAATAAATCAGGAATTAAGTTCAATTAACTCAGAAGAATCGACTTGTTTTCACTCACTGTCCCATCTCATGTGATAGATGTGTGTGATGTGATATGAGCTGCTGAGTCAGCGGAACTGAGCGCAGGCAAACACACACACACACACATAACCCTGCGTGTTGTGTGATGCGAAGAAGCGGACTTGAGCGCGCAAAGTCAGCGGAACTGAGCGCATGCGAACACACACACACACGCAACCGTCCGTGCGTGTTCTGAGGCGAAGAAGCGGAACGGAGCGCAGATTCAGCGGAACTGAGCGCAGGCGAACACACAAACACATATGACCGTGCCAGCACGGCGATACTTGTGTGAATAAATCTCGAATCAGTCTCCAAAAAATGGATATATCATTAACATGAATCCATTTTTCAAAGTGTACACTTTACAAAATCTGATCCATGTTCATGATCTCCCCCACTGGTTCAGTACAACGACAGGAACCTCCCAAGGCCTAGCATCCAGCCTCTACTACGATCTGGGCCAAAAAAAGTAAAAAAAATAAAAATGAAAATGAAAATATAAATAAATAAATAAATAAATAAATAAATAAATAAAAGAAATAGTTTCGACATTTGTACACCTTGTAAAGTGTTAACATGTGACACTGTTCTTCGAAGGAAAACAAGTCGATGATGAACCGCACAGCTGCCACAGGCACCAATCAAATTTGCATATAGAAGAAGCATAGAGTCAAAAAAAGCTGCCCGCCGTATTAAAGAAGAAAAAGAGCAAAACGGAGTCAACAATAATAAAATCAATTTAAATAATATCAATTCACCGAAAAAACAAACATGCTAACATGTGGTTGTCGGCATGTTTGAGTGAAGAATAATATTAATATGAGTTCAAGAAAAAGAATAGAATATCAACACTGAGGATCAAATCAGTGTGAGGTGAAATTGAAAGAAGAACATAGCTTATAAAAAAAGGACAGGAATGAAATCAGGAAGTAAATCAGGAAGTAAATCAGGAAGTAAATCAGGAAGGGAATCAGTAAGTAAAACAGATATCAGGAATTAAAGCAGAAAAAAAAAAAATCAGGTCAGGAGTGAGATGAGGAGGAATAAATCGAATCAGTTAATTACGTTAGAAAAAATAAATCAGCGAAAGCCCTGCGTAGAAAAGGACAATATGCGCAGATAGAGAAACGGGCCAAAGATATATAAAAAAAAAAGAAAAGAAAAGAAAAGCTAGGCTACCAGCCGGGCCGCCCGGGTCACCCTATTTTCCCGGACGGCCCGGCCGTGCAAGGACCAGGGAAAATCCTATCAAAAAACAAAAAATCAAAAAAGTCTGAAAAAAAAACTATGTTATGCAGAAAAATAAACTGACCAACTTTTGCCTCAGGGTCACATCGAAATTCTTTACCATATTTAAAATAAAAAATAAAGTTAACAAAATTTTATTTTTATTTTTTATTTTTTTTGGCCCGGCCGGGCAAGTGCCACGGGCCACTCTGGTAGCCTAGAAGAAAAGGAAAAAAAAAAAGGGTAATATATCGTCACGTACAAATCGAGAAATTGTCCAAATTGTTGACCCTTTTTCCATGATGCATGGCATCCCCCCCCTAAAAATAAAAAATTATTGACCCTTTTTCCATGATGCATGGCATCCCCCCCMWAAAAATAAAAAATTATTGACCCTTTTTCCATGATGCATGGCATCCCCCCCMWAAAAATAAAAAATTATTGACCCTTTTTCCATGATGCATGGCATCCCCCCCMAAAAAATAAAAAATTATTGACCCTTTTTCCATGATGCATGGCATCCCCCCCCAAAAAATAAAAAATTAAAAGAATCGGGGTACTCGGCTCTTGAGGCCGAGGTCGCCGGTTCGACTCCGTGCGTGCACGGAGGAGGGCTTAGGCCCAGATGTACATTATAAAATTAATGTATTTGGTGCAACTTTGGGTCCACATACGACGATAACTACAGTCGTTCTATTCGGGTGAAGACATGGGTTGGTTCGGCCGGTGCCATCGCACGGCCATCTTCAGGGGAGTTGAAGAAACGCGGATTGATCACGATTGTCTGCATCGGTCCGCAAAAGCGTCCCGATTCAGTCAGGCTTTACATCCAATCCATCTATGCTTTACCGTAGTCGGACCTTGTCCCGGGGGGCATCATTTTTTTTCTTTCTCTTCACTGTCCTCTGATGATATCATGTCCGACTCGCAAGTAGAGCCCTACAGCGGTGCATCCCACACCACTAGATCTACTTTTTTTTCTATATTAAAAAAAAAAAAATCAACAGTTTCATTGTCGGTCCGCTCGTTCAGCCACGTGGGCCGCGACGGACGGTCCCTCAAACGGCGAAAATTTTAAAATCCGCCGGGGATGGTCCGAGACGGAGGGTCCCCGAGACGGCCAAAATTTTGAAATCCGCGCGGGGGAGCCCGGGGAGTGGGGGGGGAGTAAATTTGTGAAATATATTTTGACCGAATTTCATTTGTGGGGGGGGAGGAAATTTGTGAAATATATTTTGACCGAACCTCATTTTCCCCCCTAATGGAACGGAACGGAACGGCACGAAACGGAAGCCGCGGGGGGAAACTAAATTTGTTAAATTTTTGTTTATATTTATTTATATTTATTTATATATATATCGTCAAATAGAACTGCCCGGTAAACCGTAGGCAGAGAGGGAGAAGAGGACAACAAATGAGGGGCTGTGACAAACTGTTTCGTCGGAGTTTATATATATATTCCACCTCCCCTTTTCCTCTCCTTAAATTTGTTAAATATATTTTGACGTAACTTGACTTCTCGCCTCACGAAACGGAATGGAACCGAAACGGATGGAAACGGAACAGAACCAAAGCTAACGGAAAACGAACGAAACGGAACGGAGCGCAACAAAGTTTCAAACGGAAGAGTTGAAGTAAACTGAAATCCGAAGTCGACGGGGAGCGGAGGTGAGTCCAAATGCACCGGGTCAAAGTATCGACTGATTTTTTTTTTTTTTTTTTTTTTTTTTTTTGGTAAACGGCGACGGACTTGAGGTATCACCATTGAACCTGTCTCTTATACACATCTAGATGTGTATAAGAGACAGCCATTGAACTGTCCGGCCCCAGGTAATTCTGGATCGGCAATTCGGAATTACTCTGTTCTTTTTTAGTGTTATTGCATCCAGATTCAGACTTGGGCAAGTAATTCCACAGTTGATATGGACTAGGCATAGGCAGCAAGCCTTTTGGTGCGGACGGAAATTTGAAAATTTTGATATGAGCGAAAAATAGAAAAGAGAAAAGAAAAAAAAAAACGAATAGAAGAACAAGTTTGCAGTGCTCGTTTTTTTTTCTTCAGAGCAATTAATGCAAGACACGTGTTTTAATTGTTTTGTGAAATTTAAAATTTTCTTCTTAATTATTTTCGTGGCGGCAAAGCGCTTGTTTTGCCGTTTCTTTTTTTTTTTGAGGGGGGGGGGGGAGGGGAAGGGGGGGGGGGGGGGATTCCGAAGTGTGTGTTGCTGGAAAAGGCTTAGCGCGTGTTGGGAAAAAAAAACAAAGTGCGTGTTGGGGGTGGGGAAAAAAGTGCGTGTTGGGGGAAAAAAAAGAAAAAAAAGAAAAAAAAAAGTATATGTTGGAAAGAAAAAAATGCATATTGGAAAGAAAAAAAAAAAAGGTGCGTGTTATGAAAAAAAAAAATGGTGCGTGTTGGGAGGGTCGTGGAAGAGATTCGATATTGGAAATCTATGTACGTGAACTTCTCGCCTTTCAAAAAAAATAAAGAATAAAAAATCGAGATTGAAAGTCTATGGTCGAGATTCAAGATTAGGAGAAATCCACGATACATTTCCAAAAAAAAAGGTAAAAAAAAAAGTTAAAAAAGCGGTACTTTCGTGTCGTACTGATGGTGGTCGTCTGTCTGTCGTCATCCTTCCTCTTCGTTGTCGTTGCTTGTGACACGTGTCGTCATGTATTACAGATTTGAAACGACAATGACTTCAGGATTACACAAATGCACACACAACACAAAGTACATTGTACCTGCACATAAATCGTAGCCAATATCGCTGAAAGAAAAAGCGGTCGACGGATTAGGAAAAAGAGTAAACTCGTTGAATATTCAACGACAGTTCGCGGTGGTCGTGAATGTGAATTTCTCCGTCGTGCTTGGTCTTGCAACGACAGCAGCAGCGAGACAGACGTCCCTCGCTCCGGGCAACAGTTTTGGGGTTTTCTTCATTTTTTTCCGCTTTTTCGTGATTTTTGAGAATTTTTGGTCGTTTTTCTCGACATTTTCCATCAGTTTTTGTCATTTTTGGGATTATCGAGATTCTCGGCATTTACGGGATTTAGGATTCTTGGGTGGGCTTTCGGCATTTTCGAGGTTTTCACCATTTCCGGCATTGTTTTGGGATTTTGGGGATTTGGGGGATTTTCTGATCATTTTTCGGCATTTTTGGGACTTTTGGCATTTTTCGGATTTTTGGTATTGTCGTTTGGCCTTTTTCATTTTTGGGGCTTTTGGCTTTTTTTTTGGATTTTTGATATTGTCGTTTGGGCTTTTCGGGAGTTTTGGGGGTGTTTAGCTGTCCGAGAATTAATAGTTATAATAATTGTAACAAATAAATAATAACAATAATATGGGGGTTTATCATGGGGAAAGAGGGGTTCAATTAATCCCAAAATTCGAATGGACTGCGTCGGAAAGCCCGGATGGTGGATGCTCTAGATCAACGCTCTGGATCGACGTTCATCCCGTCCATCCATGGCTGCTCTTCTCACCTGATGGGCAATCGCTCCAAGTCTGGAACTACGAGCAGGGGACACGTGTCGCCTCCTGGTTGATTAACGAGGGCTACGACATCTTGACGGCGAAGTTCGTCGTGCAGAAAGACTGGATTGTGGTTCGGAGCTTCAAGAGCTTCTTCGTGTACGAGATCCTTCCCGGGTCGGGACCGGGACTGCGGTGTGTCTCCGTGATGGAGGCGCCACGTGGCAGTTACGTCCATCGGCTGGCCGTCCACCTCACGCTGTCGTATCTGCTTACATCGTTTGAGGAGGTCGTCGTTTTGTGGGACTGGGACAGGAACTGGGAGAAGATAACGTTCGAAGGCCATTCGAAAATGGTAAACGTGGTGAAGTTTCACCCGAGCGATCCGCGAATCTTCGCCAGCGCTTCGCACGACGGCACGATCAAGATCTGGGACATCTACAGACGATGCGTTATCCAGACCCTTGAGGATCCCGACATCCGGTGGATCTACAGCCTCGAGTTCTGCGGTAAACCCCAAAAACCCTTTTTGATTTCGTTCCACGATTCCATCTCGTGCAGCGGTCGGGACAGCCTCAACCTGTGGGTATGGGATTACCGAAGAGGGCAGCGAGTGGCGAAGCTCGAAGGGCATAACTACACTGTAAAGACGGCGTTTTTTCATCCGGATCTGCCGTACATTTTCAGCGCATCGTACGGTGGCGAAATCAGGATCTGGAGCGATCTGAACTACCAGCTGGTCTCCTCGTACGCGTGCGGATTGGGCGAGCATTTCGCGAGCGTCGTTGCCTGCAGGCACTCAACTGTGCTGGTATTCGGAGGCAAAGGCAAGTTTTTGCTGCTGGATGTATCTCCAAGAGGAGGCGGCGCCCCCGTCGCCGCCGCCCCCGTCGCCACCGCTGGAGTACTTGGTGGAGGAGAGAAAAGGGAGCAGGAAAACCAGACGGAGGCGAGGTTTTCGCCTGTGAAACGGATGCGAACAACTACGACTAATGCGGCGATGACAACGCAGCCGCCGCCGACGACTACGACCGCGCCGCCACCGCTAGCGCCAGCAACAATGGATGTGATTAACGGATCGGCGCTGGGGGTTCGTAAGCGGATCGAGGAGTTGGAAAACAGCAGTCTTCGTGCACATTTAGAATTTGCTAAGAGGGTAGAACAGGAGGTGGCAGGGGTAGAATTCCGGTGCATGACCGCGCTCGAGGAGCTGAGAAAAGAGCAGCAGGCAAAGGAGAGAATGCAGGCAGAGAGGGTGAAACAGTTAGAGGGAGAAGTGAAGACTATGAAGGCGGTGATGGCGGCGGTGGTGGAGAGGCTGGAGCACTCCAAACTGACAATTCAAGAGCCTCCCACAGCTTGAAACAAGCTAGCAAGTCTTAAGTTAGGGGACGAAGAAAAGAGGAAGAAGGACCTCAGAAACTTCAGAGTATTGTCATCCAAAGCTGGGTTCATTAGTGAAGACTCCAGCCGCCTCCGGACGCTTCTTTGAGAAAGCAGTCGCCAGAAAGGAAAACTTTAAGGGAGAAAGATGAACGCGGGGGGGGGGGGGGGGGGGGACACAGGAAAGAATAAGCAACCAGGGGTCAAGCAACCCTCCGACTGGGAAGTCGAAGAAAGTTGTGGATTCAGAATCAGCAGCAGCAGCAGCAGCATCAGGTACTGGTAGCGCTCAGTCCCCGTGAAACTACGGGACTCGGTAGCCGAGATGACGAGAAGTACAGTGTTTACTTCAAAAACTAAGAGTTCGAGAGTTAGTTACTGACGTAGGGACTGACTGCTACCGGTAGTTGCATGGGGACTGACTGCTACCGGTAGTTGCATGGGGACTGACGGCTACTGCGAGTTGCATGCGGCCTAACTGCTACCAGTAGTTGCATGGGGGCTGAGTGCTACCGGTAGTTGCATGGGGGCTGAGTGCTACCGGTAGTTGCATGGGGGCTGAGTGCTACCGGTAGTTGCATG